CCTGTAGTTTGTGTTCCATGATCACACACTTGTAGTTTGTGTTCCATGTTCACACACCTGTAGTTTGTGTTCCATGTTCACACACCTGTAGTTTGTGTTCCATGTTCACACACCTGTAGTTTGTGTTCCATGTTCACACACCTGTAGTTTGTGTTCCATGTTCACACACCTGTAGTTTGTGTTCCATGTTCACACACCTGTAGTTTGTGTTCCATGTTCACACACCTGCAGTTTGTGTTCCATGTTCACACACCTGTAGTTTGTGTTCCATGTTCACACACCTGCAGTTTGTGTTCCATGTTCACACACCTGTAGTTTGTGTTCCATGTTCACACACCTGCAGTTTGTGTTCCATGTTCACACACCTGTAGTTTGTGTTCCATGATCACACACTTGTAGTTTGTGTTCCATGTTCACACACCTGTAGTTTGTGTTCCATGTTCACACACCTGTAGTTTGTATTCCATGTTCACACACCTGTAGTTTGTGTTCCATGTTCACACACCTGTAGTTTGTGTTCCATGTTCACACACCTGTAGTTTGTGTTCCATGTTCACACACCTGTAGTTTGTGTTCCATGTTCACACACCTGTAGTTTGTGTTCCATGTTCACACACCTGTAGTTTGTGTTCCATGTTCACACACCTGTAGTTTGTGTTCCATGTTCACACACCTGTAGTTTGTGTTCCATGTTCACACACCTGTAGTTTGTGTTCCATGTTCACACACCTGTAGTCTGTGTCCCATGTTCACACACCTGTAGTTTGTGTTCCATGTTCACACACCTGTAGTTTGTGTTCCATGTTCACACACCTGTAGTCTGTGTTCCATGTTCACACACCTGTAGTTTTGTTGCATGTTCACACCCGTAGTCTGTGTTCATGTCACACACCTGTAGTTTGTGTTCCATGTTCACACACCTGTAGTTTGTGTTCCATGTTCACACAGGTAAGCTTCAATACAGTGTCATATTGTTCTGTTTCTTGTGAACGATCACTTGACGCACGTACAGAGTGTTTTGCTTTGTTCTGATTATTATTATTATTATTATTATTATTATTATTATTATTATTATTATTATTATTATTACTACTACTACTACTACTATTGCTGTTGTTGTTATTATTATTATTATTATTATTATTATTATTATTTTAATGTTTATTCAAAAGAACTAACCCTCGGAATCCAAACAGCGGGAGACAATCGGGTTCGATCCAAAGGGGAGATAAGATCCAGTTCCCTGGATCAAAGAGCTCCTGAACAACATTAAGACCCCTACCCCTGAGAGAGTCAGGATTCCAAGCTGGCAAACATTATGGAAAAAAATACAGAATGCGTCCACCAAGGACACCTTTACTGAAAACGTTTCGCTCCTGGATTGCACGAGTATCAATTGAATTCTCCACCCGCTAAGCCTTGCCAGAAAATGTCACTTTAGTGGAGGTAAATCTTGCATGATGTTAAGAGCCAACAGTCATGGGACTGTTGCAATCCTAAGTCTCCTGACAATGTTCTTGGTGCACAGGAGGATTGTAGCTCCGTGGTGCCGCCTTTAGCTTACAATCGGAGGACACGGATATGATCTTGGGCTAGGCGAGGTGTCCTAAACAGAATGACTATAAATGGATGATTCAGTTTAGAGCTTCGTCAAGCTCTGAGTGGACGAAACTTAATATCGTCTGTCTGGTGCTTGGCAGATGGAGGACCGAGCCTTCACCACCATCCATGAATGACCTTCATGGGTTTAGCGCTTAACATGAATTATATTATTATCATTAATTATTATGATTAATAATAATAATAATTATTATTATTAATATTATTATAATAATTATTATTATTATATTAACAGCTTCTAGATGCAGCAGTAGTTAATTTCCTTACATCTCATCAAGTAATTACTAGCATCACCACACCAGGAATGATAATAAAACCACTGATTATTTTTTGGGCAAAGAATAAATAATATATAAAAGTAGAACTGACCAGCAGCCCCTCAACATTCAATGTAACATAAACATTCACGTACACAAACATTTGTAACGCCAGAACTAAGACATAACACGCAACATTCATTGTATCTTAGGTATGGAGTAACAATAACTTAAGGTAAATTGGAAACCACGAATAAATACGAGAGATTTCTAAGGTTAATGTTAACATGATGGAGAAACAGTGACGGAAAAAATAAAATGGCATGAACACTGTGTTTTTCGTGTTAAATTTACCATGATATAACACCGAGGTAATACCTGATGATGAGTCAAGAGAAACCGTAATCAACAGGTGAGGTGGGTTACTGAGGGGCAGGTGAAGGTGACACACAAGTGAGGTGGGCAACTGAGGGTCAGGTGAAGGTGACACACAAGTGAGGTGGGCAACTGAAGGTGAGGTGAAGGTGACACACAAGGGAGGTGGGCAATTGAGGGTCAGGTGAAAATGACACACAAGTGAGGTGGGCAACTGAGGTCAGGTGAAGGTGACACACAAGTGAGGTGGGCAAGTGAGGTCGGTGAAGGTGACACACAAGTGAGGTAGGCAACTGAGGGTCAGGTGAAGGTGACACACAAGTGAGGTGGGCAACTGAGGGTCAGGTGAAGGTGACACACAAGTGAGGTGGGCAACTGAGGGTCAGGTGAAGGTGACACACAAGTGAGGTGGGCCACTGAGGGTCAGGTGAAGGTGACACACAAGTGAGGTGGGCAACTGAGGGTCAGGTGAAGGTGACACACAAGTGAGGTGGGCAACTGAGGGTCAGGTGAAGGTGACACACAAGTGAGGTGGGCAACTGAGGGTCAGGTGAAGGTGACACACAAGTGAGGTGGGCAACTGAGGGTCAGGTGAAGGTGACACACAAGTGAGGTGGGCAACTGAGGGTCAGGTGAAGGTGACACACAAGTGAGGTGGGGTATTCGAAAAAGCAGGTAAAGCTTGTGCTATGTACAAGTGGGGTGCTGTCGTAGAAAGAGAATGAGACAGAGTGAGAGAAAGGGAGGGAGAGGAGGTAGGGAAGAAAAGGAGGGAAGTGAAGAAGAGAAGAGGAGGGAAGGAGGGTGGTTAATTAGCTTCGTAATGCAAATCCCTGATATAACCTTTGACAATTTCAATTTCTTACACATTCTAAAATTTTATGGTAAAATATTTCCGCCGCACATAACGTACAATAGAATTAAATTTTATCGTTGTAGCTCTATATTACATCGTAGAACAATAATAATAGAGTATTATAATGAGTTAAATATAATGTAAACTTTATTATAAGATATTAATTTATGCACAATATACAAAATGCTCACAAAAAATATATTAATATATAATTCTTGTAAATATTTTGACAATCATACTTAAGCACACATATGACAGCAATCATAATTTATAATTTTACGGAAAATCGCCTGTGTTCAGAATAAGTTTTGTTCGGAAAAATAAACGTAGGTTTATGGTTCATGAAACACAATATAACTGAGATGTTCCCTTAGTAAACTTCACTCACACGATACAACAGTGGGAAAAAATTATCCTGTTATGAGTTAAGGAGATGAATTAAACAGATGACATCCCAAGTTAGAGCAAACGGTTTTTAAAACGAGGAGACGTCTGTGTTTTCCCTTGACAGGAAGCACAGGCCGGAAGGCTGTTTCCTCAACGAACGAGGTACCAGCTCTAACTGGCTCTTCTCATTAACGTAAACAGCAATGTCAAAGATTCAAGACCGGGCTGATTCAGTGGGTCTTTCTCATTAATAATAACAATGATGAATGTCAGGACTGTAGGCATCCTGTCATTCATGGACACAGAAACCGTTTTGAAATTGCTGACGGATGCTGGTAGTGGGTGCCAGGCTGGACCTTCATCGTTCGGGTGGAGATTTGAAACCAGTTCTCTGGCCGTCTTTTAGGCTAAGACTCCGTTAGAGGAGACACCCATTGCCTGGTGTTTGTACACTATATCCAGGGATGGGCGGGTCAACTGACGGGCAACAGGACAAGAGGTAGCGAGGCAGCATATAAAGGCTACATCCATGCGGTGTTTAATCGCAGTGCAGTAATCAATACGTTGCTTAATATAAAACAATGTGAAATATAATCCCAATATAATTGGGGGTTAAACTTACCCCTCAAACTTTAGTTAATAGTTCTTGTCAGTGGATAAATGTTAGAAAACGTCCTGTTTTAAGAGCTGTTAATGGTATTTAGAGTCTACTGTAATTTCTGTGACTCAGAATGGAGCTGGTGATAGCTGCGACTCTAATAAGGATAATTAGAGATAGTGCTCTATTCTAACTCGGGTCGTGTGTTTACCTTAACCTGGACAGGTAAGATTTCCACCCATAACTCTGTCACTGAACTCACATGATACCAACTCAGATTCACTAAATCAACCCAGTTATTATATTCACGGTGAAGCGCTGAACCCGTAAGGGTGATGCATGTCTAAGTAATGGACAGATAATCAGGTCTGAGCTGAGGAATGGGAGGGAGGAGCCTATCCCTTCAACTAATAGCCCCTTGACCAACATCAAAATAGATCCCCTGAAGGGGGAGGTATCTTGATGTTAATGATGAGGCATCCTGACCCTCCCTGAAGCTCAGTGAAACACACGGGTTTAGCGCTTCGCATAAACTTTTTCACAGTACAATAAAATTTAGAAATCATTGATCAGTATTGGTGATGCGTTGAAAAAAAAATATGTAGGCTTAGGCACCTTTTAATCTAAATTAAAGCTTTATTAACCCTATGTACCTAAATTTTAGTAAAAAAATTAGAATTTTCTAAAAATGTTTCAGAAAGTATAAATATTGCGAAATATAAATTATCACTCACAGACGAAATATAAAAATTGTGTAATATTTCTGTTTCTGTTAAAAGTAGAAAAATCTAGCCACTTTTAACTCATATTTGGTTCCTTTCTAATATATTTAAGAGAGTACAGTTACGTAGTGTGTGTCTCGTGTTAGCTAACGGAGGATTGAACCTTCATCACGGCTTGTGCTGAATGACAGAGGTTTCAACCCTTCAAGCGAAGTACAGAGTTTTTTTTTTTTTACCCTTTCGAAGGAATCCTGGTGATGAGGTTGCGATTAGCTAACGAAAGATCAGGGTTCCACTACTCACTACTATAAAAGGCTCCTCGTGGGTCTAGCGGATGGATGAATCAAGCTTCCACTACTCCATGCTCTGAATAACCCACATGGGTTAAGCGACCGGAGGACCGAGCCTACTTTACTCGTAGTGCTAAATGTTGTCTCATACGGGTTTAGAGCTCCATTCCAAGCATAAGGTGTCTATTCACTTCAGAAGAAGTCTTGGAGTTGAGGTCTCGAGGTGGTGGTGGTGGTGCTCAAAGCCTTCACCATCATGGGTTTCATGACGTCATCTCCAAGGTCGTCCATGAAGGGCGACGCTACGAACACTGGCTGGAAGGCGTCGGCTGCTGTTTTACCTTCTTGAGGACTTGGCTTGAATTCTAAACTCGGTCTGATGTCATTCTGCGAGGGATTAGGATTCGGTGGGAAGAAGACTCTCTGAGGCTGCGGTGCTGGTCTTGGGTGCTTATGTGGGGTTTGTGCATTCCCAAAGACCCCGGGAGTCAGGTTGGTGAAGCTTCCCAGCAGCGTCGGCTTCTTGGACTTCAATGGCTTAGGGGGAGGTGGAGGAAGCCTTGAGGGGTTCTGACTGGGTGGTGGAGGAGTATTCCTTAGGCTGTTTGTGTCTGATGTTGGAGGCCTTGGGTGGCTGGAATGGGGTGGTGGAGGCCTGGGGATGTTCGAATGGAACGGTGGAGGAGTTTTAGGGATGTTCAGATGGGATGGTGGAGGAGTTTTAGGGATGTTTGGATGGGATGATAGAGGTGTTTTGGGGATGTTCGGAAGGGATTGTGGTGGTCTAAGAGCATTGGGATGCGGTGGTGCTGCGCGCGGTGGCGATATATCGACCCTAGATGGCGCTGCACTTGAGAAATATTGAGGGATAATATCGTTGTTGTGAGCACCCTGATCTTCAGGCTTCACAAACTGATATGGGAAGTTACCTAAGTGCTGAACAGGAGTATTTGAGAAGGCAGATTTAGGTGGTAGAGGTGGCGGAGGCGGCAATCGAAGGGGCCCTAAATGGTTCTGGGAATGCTGGCCAGGATCATCTAACGGTGGAGGAATTTCATATCTGGGAGGGGCAGTAATTTGTATCACCTGACGGAATGGCTTTAAACCTGGAGAATTTTGTAGTGGTGTCCGTAGCGCATGAGAGCCCTGGTTGGATGACAGCCTTTGAGGCCACGGCGGTTTCTTTATGCCCTTTCTCACTTGGTTATGATGCCCAGGTGCGTTGGTGCCCGTCCTGCGGTGTGTGTAGAGCATCTGCGGTGGCAAGAGCTCCGGCCGCAGGTTCGAATGAGCTAATGTCTTGCGGCGTTGAGGTTGTTGTTCATTCTCTCCGCCGAAGAGTCCAGACAGCTTCTGCAGAAAGAAGAGGTCACTCTCCCACAGACCTCGATTCTCACGGAATTCAGTATCCGCTGCTGTGATTGGTTCCTCCGCTGCTGTGATTAGTTCCTCCGGTGCTGGAGACTCGGGGAAGAATATTTTACCTCCATCGACCTGGAAAATACCAAGCTTATTAAGGGATATTCATATTCAGACATTTATGCTAATGACAAACTGAAGAACTAAATAATAATAATAATAATAATAATAATAATAATAATAATAATAATAATAATAATAATAATAAGCCCAATGTTAGTGCATGTTAGAGGGATGTTACATTTAGCAATACTATTTAATGTGCACAACGTATTTAGAAATAATTAACACTGATCTGCTGATGAAGTATTCGCTGGATATCGTCACTTTGGTAACAACTAATGACAAACAGAGTACCTCATAACGTCTTTAAACCACTGCCATATACTTCAACAAGATTAGCATTGTGGCAAAGTCTACCAACTTCGGAAGGCCCCAAACCCCATTATTTTATCCATATTATTTAGCTGTTAGGAACTAAGATCTGCTTCATTAGGCTAAGTAGGTCAAGGTAGTTAAGGATAATATTGTTTACTTTCAAAAGCTTTGATTTAATGCGGTATAGATGCCAGTGTAAATATGTCTATGTATGATTTATCTGGTTATGAAAATATATGTAATGGATGTAAAATCTTGTGAGAGATGTGACGGCTCTCAAAGTATAAGAGAGAGAAGGTTCATGGGTTATCACATGAAGTGTATAACAAAGTTATACACAAGTTATACAAAGTTATATACAAGGTGTCCTTGACTAGTGGTGTAAATATTTCAAGAAGTCTTAACGATTATTGTGTATCTTGTTACCTGAAAGACGTTATCGGGGGTCAGCGTCTCCGAGGCCGATGTAGGAAAGTGCATTGTTGTTGGTGAGGGGCTCCTGATCTCTTGATCTAAGGAATGGGGCATCGAAAAGGGCTAAATCCATACGGGTTTAGCACTTCTCAATTATAATAATTAAATTCTCATAAATCAACCAAGTTGCGCGCTTAGACGAGCAAACTATTTTAGATTAGATTTTACATTCTAACCGGCTAGTTTGTTGTACACCCAAATCCAGCCTGTGGATGGCAGCGCAAGAGCATATGAATACACAAAAGACCTAGAAATTAGGCCTCAGAAGGATTGGCACGAGACCATCTGGAAATATGTTAAATTATCTTACTTGTTTTAAGCAAATTTAGGATATTTGCTTTATATAACTAGTATCTTATTTTCATTAATAAGATACATTGACATGTCATATAGACACTTATACTCTCTATATTCCTCATTCTCTCGAGCAATCATGCACATGAGTGTTGCAAAATGTAACCATAAGGCTGACCACAGATTTTGCATTTAGTTTGATCATCATCATCTGTGCGTCTGCAAAACTGCCAGAATTATTTGTAACCAAACCTCTGCCTGGCTACTACAGTTTCAGTCAGTTTGTTCACATTGCAAGTTGCTCCGTAAATGTACTTATCTACTTTTAAGTGATAATAGCGAGCTTCTACCTGCATTCCTATAACATTCACTTTCATTATTTATTTCTCTAATTCCAGATGCAGATAGGCCTAAGTCATATTCTACATTTTCCTTCAAAGCATTTTCTTCGGCTGACTTATCAGCTTTGTCATGGAGTATTTCAGTGTGTGACGGAATCCATAAGAATTGCACATTAATACTTTTTTCTCTTATTTTGAGTATCTATACCGGCTTTTGCAATGAGCATGTTGACTCATTATATACCTTCAGTGAAGATACAGAATCACTGAAGGCACATGATTTACATATACCCAAAAATCATTCCAGTATCTGGCTATATTCAGCCGGTATCTGGATATATATGCTGCCGGTATCTAGCTTAAGAAAGCAGAAACGAAAACATAAGGACAAAAATTCACCAGTGTTCCACACGAGATAGCAAAATCATGGTGAGGAAAACAGCTGTAGGCTGTATACCTGGAGTTTACCTGGAGAAGGTTTCGGGGGTCAACGCCTCCGCGGCCCGGTCTGAGACCAGGCCTCGTGGTGGATCAGGGTCTGATCAACAATCAGAAATGAACATGAACTGTCTAGCTTCTTTAGTACTCAAGATAATCGGCGCGTGTGTGTGGTGTGTGTGTGTGTGTGTGTGTGTGTGTGTGTGTGTGGTGAAAGTGAGCGTGAGAGTGTGGCAAGAGTGTTGAGTGCGTGGTGAAAGTCTCTCTCTCTCTCTCTCTCTCTCTCTCTCTCTCTCTCTCTCTCTCTCTCTCTCTCTCTCTCTCTCTCATAATGATTGTTATTATTTTCCCAGCTGCTGCAGCAATAACTTATACAAGCAAATATTATAATTATCCCACCTATTGCATTTTTTATAGAGAAAACACTTCTTAGAAAAGAGAGAAAGGGTATAAAGTAATTTTTTATACGAAATAAAAAAATCTATAAGAAAAAGCTTATCAACTAAGATTGTAAGATAGTTTCTTTAAAAAAAATGGAGATAGCAATTTATCTAAGCAAATTACATGTAATTTTGATGGAAATGATAACATTATGATGAACGATGGAATAAGGGGGAAAATGGATGAAGGAGGAAGTCGACGAAGAAAGGAATAGGGGTGAATGGATCGGGAACGTGAAAAGGCAATGGATTGATAGGCCCTTTGAGCCTAGGAATAGAGGTGAGGATGTAATGGAGAGGTAATGGATAGTGATGGATAATGCCTGGATAACAAGGGCAGCAAGCATAAGAAAATTTACCCGTAAATCAAACCCGGATCCTTTCGATTGTTAACGGAATGCTCTGTCGAGTATTAAAAAAAAACAAAGTTTCGCTTCCTGCCCTCGAACACACGCACGGGTTACGTCACACGTAAATTCTAGCAGAGTTAGACTAACTTATCTTAGTTTTGGTGAAAAGCAAAACAACTAATATTTCAACAATTTACATGTATAAAATTTACGTAAATCACGAATTTAAACTGATTTGATTTTGTTCATCAGAACATCCTGTAGAGTTGTAAAATAAAAGTTGTTAGGTAAGACACATATGCAACAGTTTTGACAACTTTATTCCGAAACGTTTGCATACAGATCATCAGATCAATACGAAAGTAGCAGGAACATTAGAGATGTGAACGATGTAACAGGTCCATCACCTAAATCGTAGAATTTGAGGTGGGACGATGAGAAGTACAGTCCATAGTCCAGAACTACCCAAACAATAGCAGACAGGGTGGAACTTAAATACTGTCGGAAGGAAGTGCAGGTTTACTGTAGTAGTTAGTAGTATAGGGAGGCACTGAGGGTCATGCCCTCTCAGATCCACCTTTCACATCGAAAACTTGCAAGGTTTTCTGTACCAAGATGCCACGTGTGGGTGTCTGACAAGATGATCAAAATGGATACAATGCCGACAGGTTGTTGGTGAACGCTATGCAACAGTTAGACAACTCTTTTTTCCTCACGTTCGCCTCACATAGCTTCTCTTCACAATACAGAAGTAGGAACAGGTGAAGCGATGTAATCAGTCACACCCTTAAATCGTAAATAGGTGTCACCCTCGCCGAAAATTATACCAAATATCATGAACTATCTGAAGATCAAGCGCATGGCGGAGACTTAAAACTGTCGGAAGGGAGGCAGGGTAGTAAAAATTAGTAAAAGTATTAGTAGAAAAAGTTTCTAAACTGTTGCAATTTTTTAAACAAGAAACCGATATTGAACATTATTGATGTCAACTGTCAACATATGGCATCTGGTAAGGAAAACAGGACAAGCTTTTCAAGTGAGAAGGGATGGTGAGGATGACCTCCAGTGGCCCCATATACTACACCTAGACTAAATACAGCTGCACCCCCTTCGAATATTTAGTCATCCCATCTGTCTCAGATGTTCCTGACTATGGAACTGAACTTCTCCAGGCCTGGACTGAACAATTCTCGCGACTTTAAGGTGATGGACTGATTACTCGTCCTTCACATCTCTACTGTTTCTACCTACTTTTCTACGAATAAGCCTACTGTGTCGTACGTTTCGGAATAAAGATTTTCAATTTCTATAATTTCTATCCTACTAACAACTGTCGTTTTTAAAACCATTTGAGTTTAAAAAAAAGTTTGTAAAAATATGTTCGTCATCACAGAACGACACAAGAAAAAACTATGAAAGAAACAAGGAAAATAAATTACTAAAATATACCTTTATGCACCTTTAAATACAAGTAGGTATTAACTTTACTGTGCAGTAACCTTCCGCCAACTATCTTGAACATCACGGCAACCATTTAAAAGGAAAAAATGGGGGGGGTGGGAAGGAGGGCGAGGGAAAAGGGAGGGTAATGGGGGAGCGAGGGGTAGGATATGAGGAAAGGGAAAATAGGATGGAGAAGTTAGTTTAACGTCTTTTTTTATGCACTCCATACCCATATGAGGGAAGATAGGGTGGAGAAATTAGTTATTTTTATTATACACAACATACCCATTCTGTGGGCTACGTAGGGTAGAGAAGAAGGAGGGGGGCAGGAAGTGGGTTTAAATGCTCGCTATTTAAACAAATCGGCCACAGAGGAGTAAATAAACTGCTTCATAGAAAATGTCTTGCTGAAGTCATTCTCTGGTAGACTAGAGAAAAGATGTGTAACAACACTTTCTCTGTGTAACGTGTTTTATCGGCTTGTCCGAGGCAATGTTTCGGCTTCACGCTTGTTTGCAAAGTTAATGCACCGTAACGAAACAACTGGAGGGTGTGAATGGCATTATGAGACGGAGAAAGTAAGAAAATGAAAAAGAGCATGACAGGTTCATCTGATACAGGATGAGGCATCATCCCAACTTAAGCACTTTACGACGAAGATAGGACGAAATTCGCAGAAGTCTGATGGCGAAGGGAAAATGTGTTAATGTGAAGGTTTGATGTGTGTGTGTGTGTGTGTGTGTGTACTCACCTAGTTGTACTCACCTAGTTGAGGTTACAGGGGTCGAGTCCAAGCTCCTGGACCCGCCTCTTCACTGGCCGCTACTAGGTCACTCTCCCTGAACCATGAGCTTTATCGTACCTCTGCTTAAAGCTTTGTATAGATCCTGCCTCCACTACATCGCTTCCCAAACTAT